CTTCTCATCACCTAGTACTGCTTCCACCCTGGCCTAAGTCATAGGCATCTCCTGTGGCCCAATTGTGACAGCTCCCTCACTGGTCACCTAACATCTGCCCTAGTGATGCTGTTGACACAGAAGCCAGATCATGTCATGATTCTGCTGACAGTCCTCTAAGGACATCCCTGTCAGTCAGGGAAGCCATGTTCACATTGCACACTGCCTCATCCTGTGCCTGTGACCCCTCACTACCCCTAGTAACACTTGTCCCTCAATTTATTCTACTCAAGAGTTCTCGTAGATGCAGTTCTCTGAGCTGAACTGTTCTTCCTCCAAATGCTCTTCTGTGCTATTCTCCACCTTCTCTTAGAAGTCTAAACCCTGTCATCTTGAACCCCAACCCTTAATACCCCCTTCCCTATTTGCCCTTTGCATTTACCACGGATAGAATGTTTCTTTTCCTCCGTTGTTGCCTCCTCTCTCTTTCTCCCCTCTTTCATTCTTTCTTCCAGGGCTGGGTTTGAACCTAGGTCAGTACAGATGATAGGCAAGCACTTGACCTCTTGGCTGGTGAAACGGCTCAGCCAGTAAAAGCTCTTTCACAAGCCTGACAACCTGAGCTTGATACCCAGAACCATGGTGGAAGAAGAGAGTCAACTCCCCAAAACTCTCCTATGACTCCTAAATGTACACCTTGGCTCATGTGCCCACACACACACACACACACACAGAGAGAGAGAGAGAGAGAGAGAGAGAGAGAGAGAGAGAGAGAGAGAGAGAGAGACAGAGACAGACACAGAGACACAGAGAGACACAGAGACACAGAGACACAGAGAGACACACAGAGAGAGACACACACACACAGACAGAGATGGACAGAGATGGAGAGACAAACAGAGACAGAGGGGATAAAACATAGTATTCACCAAACATGGTTGAGTCAGAACCTGTCTTTTAAGAAAATACCTACTTCCACATGCTCCTCAGTCCAGCCGTAACTTCCTCCAAGAGCACCAGAGGTAGCGCCACTGAATCTCAGTGCTTCCAAGCCGTGGGAGTTGGGGCAGGGCATCCATATTGTCTTTAAGAAGTAAGTGATTCCAGGCCAGCCAGAATGGAGAACTGCTGTGTTAGTCAAACCATTTTCCTGGATTCTGAGTTTGGACTAGTCTTCTGGGATTCAGGCAGTCCATTAAAGCTATCTCCTAAGCACCATGAGAGATATGTACCTTCATGCCAGACCAGGACGTCACAGATCCACGGAGACTGCTGTCAGCGTTGGCTAGCAGGGGAAGATTGGCAGGATCCCGGGCGATGGTTGGTAAGCTTGTGTCTCTGTCTGCTGGCCCTGTGTGCAGGGGTTCTGTGGGGGGAGGACAGAGGAGCTTCTGTGGAAGCATTCGGCAGCCAAAGGGCTGAGAGACGATGGGTGGGAAGAAGACCCAGCATGAGTACAGGCTCAGGACGGTAGGGAGTGGGAGCCAGGCTCCATGGACTTCACCGGACAACACAGATCTCAGTGGTCTCACCACTCATTCCACAGGGAAACTTTCTATTCCCTCTCTGCTGTCCACAATGATCTCATATGGATTTCAAATGCTTTTCTCTTCCATTAGAGTCCTGAATCTATTATGTTATAATGTGTTTGTCTGTGCTTATTAACTATTCAGGAGGCTGTGTTGTCCAAGAGCTTATGTGGGTAATGAGTAAATATTAAGTTTCTTACACTATTTTAAAACACTGAAAATGGCACTATTTCCCTGAGTGATTCCAGGCTGAGAAATTGCATTGTTCTTTAGATTTTTTTTTTCTGGTGATCACAATAATCTTCTCTTTGACCTCCTCTCCATATCTCATATTTGAGCAATCATAAAAGTTAATTTCTTAAAAAAGATCATAATTTCTCTCTTGAGAGGCACCAAGAATGTTGTGACAAAGTTAGAAAAACCGCATGTATTTACTTTCGGTCCCTGCTTAAAAGTAGCATTTTTAGCCCAATAATAACTCAGGATGCACCTGCTAAAGTAGTTCAAGTGGTGGCATTTCAGTTTCTGAGCTTTTTGTGGGGTCCTCTTTTCAGAGTGCTATTTTAGGGGTTCGTGGCACTGTGAGGAGGTGGAACCTGAAAGCTTCAGTTTCGTCTGTTTGGTGGTGATTCCTCCTGCCTCCATTTTCATGGGATGCCCTGGGACACAGCTTTGGAACCAGGGGGCTTCACCGGGCACCCCACAGACAGCTGCCGGAAGGAGCCGCAACCCCACAAAGGCTTAAGATGCCCTGGGACACAGCTTTGGAACCAGGGGGCTTCACCGGGCACCCCACAGACAGCTGCTGGAAGGAGCCACAACCCCACGAAGGCTTAAGATGCGCAGTCAGAAGATGTGTGCCAGGATGTCTTTGTTCAGTAATGGCCCCCATGTGCACTGCTTGTTTACTTGGGACACCTTCTCAAGGAAGTCAGCCTCTGAGAGTAAACAGCTAGGATTTTCCATTTGGTCATTTCATGAACAGGTGTCAAATCCCTGCTGGGCATCAGACATCTTCACAATCCTCACGCCATGGAGCTCCAACACTGAGAAAGGTCTGCCACACAAAGAAACGATAGCATCAGGGACCAATGTCCCGTTAACTGCCTGGAAAGGATAAAGTGTCACAGTGCACAGTGCAGGAGTTCTTTCCTTCTGGGGTCGGACAAGTCCTTCTTGGAGCTAGGTTGTGGGGTGCTGTCTGCCAAGGAGGTGTGCATAGCTATGGGAATGCACGAGGTCTCCAAGAGAGTGAATGTAGAGAGCAGGCGAGTTGGAGGCCAAGCCCTGAGAGAGTAACATGGAGAGGGAGCCTGAGTAGTGCCTAGAGAAGCAAATCAGAGAAGCTGAAGAGGACGGCAGACTTGGGTGTGTGAGTGTCACTCATTCGGGTGGAGTGGGGGTCCACTGTGTCAACACTGCAGAGAAGCCCAGTGAGCTGAAGAGAATGATGTGTTCACGATCAGACTGCGATGCCTTTGTGTTGCTCTTCTTTCTGCCACTACAATGAATACCTGAGACATAGAAACAGAACTATTTTGACTCACAGGCTTGGAGCTTTTGGGCAATGACTAATCATCTCAGTGCTTTTAGGCCTGTGGTGAGATAGCACCACATAGGGGTATACACCTCCTCACCTCAGGAGCCAGGGAATGAGAGGTGGGGATCCTGAGATTGCCTGTGAAGATGCCCCTCCAATCATCTTACAATCTCCCACTCCCATCTGTTAAAGAGCCAGGACCTTCCACTAACACCGCTCTGGGTCTCCAACACATGGACCCCATGCGGGACATTCAAGACCCAAACCGTAGCATCTTTACTCAGATATTAGAAACAGTGAACATTCTAGATTTCCTTTGATGAGGGAGTTACAGATAAAAATGTCAATGTGCTATCCACTGAGATGCCAAAGTCACCAGGAGGGAAGACAGGAAAGAGTGGTAGAAATTCTGTCAGCTGGGGGGAACCACAGTCTTCAGTGAAATAAAGGGTGTGTCCTGGAAGAACGGCAAAACCTAGAAGGGCGGGTGGTGCCACAGTCAGTAGAGTCAACATAACGGGAGTTGAAGTTCTGTAGACAGAAGGGAGCAATTCGGAAAAGGAAGGCAAGAGTTATGCTCTATGCCAGCGGTTCTCAACCTTCTGATGCTGTGACCCTTTAATACAGTTCCTCATGTTGTGGTGGCCATAAATTATTTTTTGTTGCTACTTCATAACTAATTTTGCTACTGCTATGAATCGTAATGTGAATGTCTGATGTTCACGACCCACAGATTGAGAATCATTGATCTATGCAGATGAAAAAAGCATTGATATTAGAAACAGTGTGTATGGTGATCTTCTGCTGGAATTTCTCAGCAGCACAGCGAGAGAATTTGAGAGGTATGAAGTATTGAGGAGCATAAAGTTTCAAGCTTGACGACCACAGATCACTGGACAGAATCATTGGATTTTTAGCCACCAGTAAGTTTCACAGGACAAGAGGCATGGTGGAAGTACATCACAGAAAGCCTTGACTGGCGAACCTAGGGATTTCCATTTTAGTCCACATGCCAAGGCCACTGGGCAGGAATGGTGTGTTGGTCCAAGTTTGAACAGCATAGTCAAAATCATGTGAGTAAAGGAAGCTCATAGAATGTTCCTGTCACAGACAAGCTCAGGTCTGTTCAGGTCAGGAAAGTGGGAAGAAGCATTTGTTTGAAACCTGCTTACTTAGAATGTGAAGACACAAAGGAAGAGCAGGAGCAAGCAAGAGATGCTGCCTGTAAGTTCTGAAGGAATAGGTTTTGAAAAATTTGGTGTTTGGCAAACCACGGTTAAACATCTACAGGTGGCTCAACCTACAGTGGGGAGACTAGTTACAGATGACGCCAGTTTCCCCTGTGGCTAACCCAAGAATAAAGTCTTTCAGTTTAGGGAGGCTGAGACTAATAAAGGATCAGGTGATTCTCAGAAATGCTGCTGAGAAGTCCCAATAAGAGATCACTTCTTACAATGTCAACTTCTTTTTCGTCTGCATAGAGCGCAGCGCTAGGAACACTCTCAAGTGTTCCTGTTGGTTGTTTCACTCTCCCTAATTTAGTTTCAGGTTCTCAAGGCAGGGCTGGGAGCGTGGATTGCCACCTGCCCTAAGATTCGAGTGTTGGCGTGAGTTACACCTCAGCCCAGGCAATGGCTCTCAGGCATGCACTAGGCCGGTTCAGCCAGAGCAGCTGTTTGGCATTCATTTTTTTGTAACCAGGGTGAGTTAGGACACATAGGGCAGCAGCCAGTGCGGGAAGGAGGGGCCGCTGTGACTGCCTCTCCTTTTCACCCTAAGTGAAGGCAGGGCTGAGTAACGGAGGTGCTCCTGGGAAGTGGTTTCATCACACCCCCTGAGGCCAGGCCCTCAAATCACAGTTCAGCTCTGGCTAAGAATCTTGACTCATGAGAGTGAAACCCCACCCACTTTTGCCCATTTTCCTCCTTTCTGCTGACAGCAGCTCAGCTTGGTCCTGAAATCTGGGGGTCTTGGTGTGTGATTAGGTCAACAGAGGCTGCCACTGACCGGTGCCTTCACTGCTTGGCCTCTACGTTCCCAACAGGGAAACGAAGTAGTAAGGCTGCTGAGGGGCTTGGGAAGGTGGAGGAGCTCCACGAGATGGACCGGAATCGGATTGGGATAGCCCTGGAGGTGCTGCACGAAGGACCCCAGAATCTGAGCGACCTCTTCCAGGCTGCTTTTGGGAGAACGCAGCAAGTTGCCCCGGGAGCCCGGGAGGTCGGACAGGCCACGGGGCGTGCCTCTGAGAGTTGGGGCGTGGTTGAGGCGGGGCTCTGAGACGGAGGCGTGGTTATGCGGTCGTGGGAGGAGCCGGGGCGGGAGGTGGCGCCGCGGAGGGAACCCGCGGCCCCGGGCGAGAGCTCGCCAGCCCCGCCGCGATGCCCCCGCGCCCAGGACGCCTCCTCCCGCCGCTGGCCGGAATGCCGGCCCTGGCTGCGCTCCTACTGCTGCTCGGCGCGCGCAGGGGTGCCCGGGCCCAGGAGGCGGCGGCGGCGGCGGCGGCGGCGGCGGCGGACGGCGGAGCCGAGCAGGACCCGCACGCCAAGCACCTGTACACGGCCGACATGTTCACGCACGGGATCCAGAGCGCCGCGCACTTCGTCATGTTCTTCGCGCCCTGGTAACTGCAGCTCCCGCAGACCGGCGGGGCCGGGACCGGAGACCGGGGGAGGGCGCGGGCTGTGCGGGGGGCGTGGGCCGCCGCGCTCGGGCCTCGCCGCTGACGTGGCGCTAGCCGCCGGGCCGAGCGCGAGGAAGGGCGGGCCCCGAGGGGAGTCCCGGAAAGGCCTCTCCGCCCCGCCACGCTGCTGGAGCCCAGACCCCCCCCCCCCACACACACACATGCACACATGCACACATACACACATGCACACACACAAGTCCCCTGCCCAGCTCCCCCAAACTTCCTGTGCTGGCCGGACGCGGCGGGAGCCCGGCGACCACGTGCCCTAGCCTGGAGGGTCCTCCCTGCTGGCCCTTCAATACTGGGTTGGATGGAAAAATCTACGGCCCTTCCAAAATGTGATTTCCCGCACTGTGTGTCGAGGGTGGGAAGAGATAACCTAGATAGAGGAGTGGGGCTACCCCGACCCCTGGGAGCCCGGAGTAGTGCCAGTTCTGGAGTCCCCGCTGCACACTGGAGTGGCTATGAGCTGTATTCTCAAGGCCTTTAACTCAAGGCTGTCTTCTGTCACCTCCTGTTCTTTGCTCTTTCGGGGGCCCAGTCAGTTGGAAGGTGTGAGGTGAGGTGGAAGTTTTTGTAAAAGTCATGCACCTTCATGCTTCCTTTCTCCGGTTGGGGTTTCCTGGTGCACCTAGCTGCTTTCAATCAAGAGTACTGTACCTCAGGAATTGTTCTAGACACAGCAGTGCTTTTCTCTTGGGGCCTAGATGCTCGGAGAAGTTCTCTCTGGTCCAGAGCAGAAAGCAGTGTTTAGAGCGCAGGCCGCTTGAGATGTGGGGATGTGCTGGCTGTGTTTATTGCTGAGCAAAGTACTCTTCCCCTAGCTCGGCAGGGACTCGAGAAGGAAAGGGGGTTAAGCGGTTAAGAAAAATGTATTTGTGGAATCCAGCTTATTCAGTGATTGTGCCTTCCAAAGTGGGAGAAACTTTCCTTTTAACCGTATAGTGGGTTATTTTTGCATTTCAGTTCATTTGGGGTTACATTAACTTTTAAGGATCAGATCAGTTTGGCTCACAGCCATTACCCATTAAGAATGCGCAAATGGAATACATTGTTTTACGTTCATTCCCAAGGACAGCAGGCTTGAATCTGTAGCCCTGCTGATGAAAGAGAAAATACTGGTAGCTTGCAACGTTCAGTGGGTGTTAATAGTTACTCTGCACGAGTATTCTCAGAGTAGTGACTCCAATTAAGTACACCTCAGGATTTAACTGCTGCCAGTTTCAGTGGAATCAATCTATGGGTTTTTAGTTTTATAAGGATAATTGACATGCAGATAGAGTTAGGTTCTCTGCAGTGCTGATGGAGTTTTAATTTTAGAATATTCCCAATAAATAACCAGCTAGTCTTTGCCAGTCAGGGGAATGGATATCACATAAATTCTTTTTTCATTTTATTTAGGTTGCTGCTGCTCTCCCCAAAGTAAGCCTTTAGTTGTTTGCTTCTTACTACTCTGCTAAAATATTAGAGATATGTAGGTGCCCACCATGGCCTTTGAGAGCTAGATTTTTTGTTGTTTTGAAGGGAAATTGAGACAGGACCTCTCTGTGTAGCCAGGTTGACCTTGAACTCACAATCTTCTTGTCTAGGGCTATGGAGTGCTAAGATTTCAAAATTAGACTTTTAAGAACAACATGAAGTTCAAGATAGAAGACACTGGGTCCTGTCCCCACTTCTTTCTCGGTTTGAGTGCCTAGAATGTTAGATGCCTACGGGTGATATTGGGGGCAAGGACACTGTGTAATGAAAACATTGACCTGTGTCTGTTTGTACTAAGCTTGGTGGCTGCAGGACTGTCCTGCTGTTCATTTTGTGCCAGCATCAGATCACAGGGCCTGTAGTGCCAGTTTGTGGGTCACACTGAACCTGGGGACAGTAAGGTCAAGATTAAGGTTAGGTGCCTCTGCTGTCCCTTGGCCCCAGGCCACCTTCTAAATGCAGCTAGCTGTCTCAATGGTGCTGGAACCACACGGGCTCCAAAACAGAAATGCCAGCTAGATAGAGCCAGTGGATTCATCGATGCTCCTGGGTGCGGAGGGTCATGCCTGCTTGGTGATGGCCCCGATGGTCAGTTTAACTTGGGGTGCAGAGAACTAAATCTTTATCCTCATTTCTAATCTTGTATTGTCATAAGAGTCTTTTCAAGGATGCAGAGGAAGTGTCCAATTCTAAAAGATGAGATTTCCTCTAACATCAGAACTGCCCTTGGAAATCCCTGTGGCAGCCACCTGAAGGCAGTCACCCTTCAGTCACCCAGCAACATCTCATAACCTGGTTCTGTTCCACCATTAGAACCAATCCTGCTTTTCTTTGATTAAGTACCAGATGCCACGAGGAGCAAACAGGAACATGGGCCAGCTGGGGAACAGAAAGTCCATGGCCCCATTGTGTACACACTCAAGGAGTCCTTGGGTCTTGGCTTTTTTTTTTTCTTCCTTTCCTTGCTATCTATCCTTTCTTCCCCAACCCACAACCTTGCTGAACTAACTTTGCCAAATTCACAGAAGTGAAGTCCTCAAATACAGTTTCACTGTGTAGGTTTTCACCCCATTCATTCTGCTTCCGTTGCCAAGCACTTAGTGCACACCGAGTGTGTGGACAGGACGGTGCTGGCTTTCTGGGCTCTTATACCAAATACATAAAGAGAATACCCATGATCTTCCAGAAAAGGGAATGATGCTGTATGTTAGGCTTTTATTTGTTTATATATTTTTATTTATGTGCATGTGTATATCTCTATGGGTTTATGTGCCATGTGTGTGGGTCCCTGAGGAGGCCCGAAGAGGGTATCAGATTCCATGGAAGCAGAGCTACGGGCAGTTGCGGTGCCTGGTGTGGGTGCTGGGTCCTCTAAAAGAGTAACAAGTGCTCTTAACTACTGGGCTCTCTCCAGTCCTATTTTATTTGGGCCTTTATAAAACAGGGATTTGTCTTAACATCCCAAGAAAGTGCTGCTGGGAAAACACATTAGCTTTAAGCCAACTTTTCAGGACTACCTTTAGATGGCTGTTTTGGAGGTCAGGTCTTCTGTCAAAAAAGAGGCTTGCCACAGATTTTATTGAGACATTATTGAGTCAGTACCAATTATCAGTACATTGTTTAAAAAGATCCCTTCAGAAGGCGATACGGCAAGTGGTTATGTTATAAACACAAATCACTTGTGTATTAGATAAGAAACCACAGCCCTGTGCCTTAGTGCCGTGTGATCGCACTCTTTCAGAACTCAAATGTAGTACAGCGTACAGATGAGAATGCAAGACGATGGTCAGCACTGCTCTTCAGGGCCCGTGACAAGAGAGATCCTGATGCTGTAGTGCAGTGCATAGAGAGGCAAGAAGCCACGGCCTTGCTGGTATTAAATGATAGATGATATTAAAATACTTGTGTATAACTGATCACACAGTCAATACCACATATTCGATTCTACCAACCTTAGTTGTTTAGGGGGCTGGGGGTGTAGCTCAGATGACACAGTGCTTACCGGTGCACAAAGCCCTGGTGTGATCTCCAGCACCACATTAGGCTGAGGGTGGCTGGGTACACATGCAGTCCCAGCACTTAGAAGGTGAAGGTAAGAAAAGCAGAAGTTCATGGTTATCCTCAGCTGCATAGTGAGCTCAAAGCCAGCCTCCGATACCCAAGACCTACCTGTCCACATAAATAAATAATTTAAATGTATTTAGCTTAAGGCTTCTGATGAGAGAAGGTGCAGAGTTGATTAATCTTGAGATCTCCTTGCATCTGTGTACATTTGGATATGTAGTAGAAGAGTCCTGTCCTTGTAAATCAAGGAGCAGTTACAGCAGAGTGCTAAGCCGGTTGGGAGGGCAGGGGTCTGAGACTTCCAGAAGAGGGGGAAGTAGCCTGGGAGCCAAGGAAGACTTCTTGGAGGAAGTGATGCACAAATCAATCTGAAGGACAAACAGAAGTCATCCAGGTAGAGTTTAAGGACATTCTTGGTAGGCTGGTACATACGTATACCTTGAGCTCCAGGGGCTCAGCAAGTTTGTAATTTTCAGGAAATTGAAATACTGCCGTTGGACCCGTAGACCAGCTGGAAGTCAAGGGGGTAGTGTCTGGACGTAGAGGTAAAAAAATAATGCTAGGACAGTAGCCTGCAAAACTTTGATTAATACGGAGAATGTTGTCATTGTGAGCTATCCATCTGCTGCATTTTGAGAAAAGCAAGGGTGGAGAGTTGATTGCTTGGTGGAGAAGGCTGAGGTAGTCATCTGGACACCCTGGGACCTGGGCCTCAGTGTGCTCTTCCTCTGGCCTCACTGTAGGTGTGGACACTGCCAGCGACTGCAGCCAACTTGGAACGACCTGGGAGACAAGTACAACAGCATGGAGGATGCCAAGGTCTACGTGGCTAAAGTGGACTGCACGGCCAACTCCGATGTGTGCTCCGCCCAGGGCGTTCGGGGCTACCCCACGTAAGTAGGGAGAAAGAGAAGGCATGCCTCTTTGTGCCGTGCTTTCCACGTTTGTGTGTCTGTTGTCCGTGACCGAGGAACGCCCAGGCTGAACTGATAACTTCCTTCATAGATCTGAATCCCTGAGTGTAAGCAGGCGGTCCCTGCTATTAAGACAGATTATGTTGAACACTGTTGATTGTAGACACCTTTTGTGCTTTGCATGGGGAAAGCCTTAATTAATCTTGGTTGGCATTTCCCATTTATGAGAAAGTGAGCATTTGCAGGGCAGTGGTGGGGTCTGGCTGCCTGAGATCCAGCCCCATGTGATGCTTCAAATTCGTTTTACATAGCCTGCTAGGACTTGGGTATCACTTCTGGTTGGAACTGTTACCACTACTGCAGTTCTTCCCTTTTTTTTCTTATTGATTCAAGATCTTTCCTAAAGTTCCATCCTCTGTGGCTAACAGCAGGTCTCTTTCTGTTGGAAGGAGGGTGAGGGTAACAAACCAGAGCACAGCAAGCCTCACAAGCAGCTGCTGACTCCCTTGACAGGCATCGGCATGGTTTGATAAACCATGACTGGCTGCTACAGTCTGGGTGAATGTCCCCCCAAAACCGGTGTGTTAGGCTGGCCAGCTGTGGTACTGTGGGGAGCGGATAGAACCTTTAGGAGGTGGGGGACTGGTGGGTGGTAGTTCTGGGCAGCTGTGGTGCTGTGGGGAGTGGATAGAACCTTTAGGAGGTGGGGGCTGGTGGGTGGTAGTTCTGGGCAGCTGTGGTGCTGTGGGGAGTGGATAGAACCTTTAGGAGGTGGGGGCTGGTGGGTGGTAGTTCATTGAAATTGTGTCCTTGAAGGGGAGATTGTGATTCAGCCCTCTCCTGTTGTCTTTTATGTGTTTGGTTTTTGTTTGTTTATTTGTTTCATATCTGCTGTAAGGAGAGAGTCTGTTAGGTTCTATCTTGGTACAGACCAAAGGCAACAAATTCAAGTCCTCTCATGGCCCCAATCATCTAAAACAGAGTCAAAAGCCACTGTTTCTCTTTCTAAGCTGATGATTCCAGCTCCTTGTTAGAGCAACAGAAAGCTGACTGACAAATTGACTTCTTGAGAAAAGAGGTTGTCTTCGTCCACTTCTGTTGCTGTAGATGTATTGTGGACTGGATAACTGACACAGGAGTAAAGCTGTATTCAGCCTCCAGGTCTGGAGGGTCAAGGTATGATGGGCTCCATGTGGTGAGGCTGAAACTGGAGTCACAGTGGGCTGAGAAGGACAGGTGTTCCTGAGAGGGAAGCTGTCCTCGTTCCCTGTTGCTGTGATAGAATACCCCAACTAAAGCAGATGAGAGGGGGGAAAGTTTACTTTAGCTCTGAATGCTACGTTATAGACCGTCATTGTGGGAAAATCAAGGTGGATAAAAGTTGAAGCAGCTAGTCACATCCACAGTCGAGTCGAGGGAGAATCTAGTCACATCCACAGTCGAGTCAAGGGAGAATGCATGCAGGCTCATTGTCAGCCAGGTTACTCAGTAGTTCAAGATCCCTGGCTTAGGGAATGGGGCCACCCATAGTGAGCATATTTTACCACATCAGTGTAACAAGACAACCCCTTCCCCCCAGGCATGCCCACTGGTCAACCTCCTCTGACAATCCCTCACCAAGACTGCCTTCCCTAATGATTCTAGATTGTGTCATGTTGACAAACTAGCCACTGCAGAAGCTTAACAGGGTTCTACAGTTGGAGGTGTTCTGTACTGCAACATCAGGACCCCATGGATGCCACTGACAAATTTAAAAACACCTTGCATTTTGCATCCTGACTTATTTAGAAATCTAGTCCTCCTGAGTAAATCTGTGTGTGTGTGTGTGTGTGTGTGTGTGTGTGTGCGCGCGCGCATGCGTGTGCTTTTAAAGAAAATGGAAATAAGCCCAGACTCTAGTGAATGTGGTCCGAGAGGGACCCCATGTTGATTGGGGCTTGCAGAAGTGACCGAGGACAAGCTTTTGCTTGGTCTTGGCTTTCACAGAATGTGGGAGGCAGAGTGCTGCGTAGGTGGCTGCATTGAGGCAGGTGAGTGTACCTGTGTGTGCTTTTACTTCCTTTCAGACAGTCCCATCTCAAACAGTGTTGCAAACAAAGCCTTATCAGAAGATGGCTGGAGATGCCTGAGCTCGGGCTTTGTGTCAGAATATGGGCTTTAAAAACATTTTCCTCCTGGCACATTTAAATGGAGTACGAGATTAGAATCCGTTCGGACTTCATAGCCCCAAGAGATGACTATGTTCAGGAAAATATATAGAGCATCTCTTTGAGCCAGGCAAGAGTCAGTTGTTGGGTGGAAATGCTGAGCAGGGCTGGCCTGAGTGCGGATAGCACCTGTATTGGTCTCCAGCAGCTGAAACAGCAGTTATTTCCTGGCACTTTTGGAGGCTGGAGTGTAGAAGGTGCTGTCAGGCCAAGTTCCCGCCCAAACCTCCTTGGAGTTTTTGTGCCGCTTTCTGACTTCTCAGGTTTGCTGATGTCTCAGCTTCCGGTTACTCTTACAGAACAGTCAAGATACTCAGAGGGAAGGTTACTAGTAAGCTCCTGGCCAGCGGGATCCAGAGTGAAACTTTGTCTCAGTTCCCTCCCTCTCAAAAGAGAAAAGGCTTATTTGCTTGACAGTTTTGTAAGTTTTCGTGCCCGGTCAGTTGGCCCTGTTGCTTTCGGCCTTGCCGCAGGGTGGCATTTGGTCACAGTGGTGTGATAGAGCACTTACTGTCAGTCAAGCCGAGAAAGGAAGGGGAGGGAAGCTCAACATAGTCTCAATAGAGTTGTCCCACTAGGCCCACTTCTTAGAAAGTCCCGTCACCTCCCAGCAGCCCCACAGTGGAGAACAGGCCTCTGATGGATAGGCCCTTGGGAGACTTCAGAGCCAAACTGTATCCCCATCAACTCTTTACATCCTTGACCTTGTCTGCACATCTATGTGTTTAAATGTCCCTTTTGTGTGAGGTCACGAGTCGCATTGACCTCTGTGAAGGCCTGGGTCTGAGTGAGGCCACATCCTCAGGTTGGGTTAGGCTTTTATTAGCTCTGTTTTGGAGGTCACAATCAAACCCCTAGCACGTCAGTTACAGTACACTTCGTAATAGTCTGTGCAGAGTGACGCCCAAGTGGGGATTTTCTTCTCTGTAGCTTCGCAGGAAGAGACACAAATCACCAGGAGACACACATGTCCATGGAAAGTTTGTAATAGAGAAGTTGGGGGCTGAACTTGGGGCCAGGAGCCTTCACTCCATCCACTACCTCTTTACCTATGTCAACTGAGGATTAGAGTTGGAACTGCAGGCTAATGGGCGGGTCTGTAATAGCTCTCCAGCCCTCCCTGGGTCCTACCAACTTACTAAGGAAGAATCTCGGACTTAAGGTTGGAAAGATTCTTTTTTTTTGGTTTTTTTTTTCGAGACAGGGTCTCTCTGTGTAGCTTTGCGCCTTTCCTGGAACTCACTTGGTAGCCCAGGCTGGCCTCGAACTCACAGAGATCCGCCTGGCTCTGCCTCCCGAGTGCTGGGATTAAAGGCGTGCGCCACCACCCCCGCCCGGCTTTGGAAAGATTCTTTTAATTCAACGAGAGATTTTTGTTTTTCTCAGTTGTGTATCAAATTAGAAACCCCCACCCCCACCCCCCACCCCCACACCAAACAGGCTAGATCTTAATTATATTTTAACTTTAGCAAAGAAACAACAACAAAATGAGTTTAAGCCCTGGTCCTCTCAGGTATTTTGAGAATTCATCTGTTTCCTGCTCTGAAGCACTTTGGTGTGGAGAGGCACTTACCAAGAGGGAGAGGGAGGTGGAGACATAGAACATGCGGCTTCCATGTCTCTGGGACCCCAGCTTTCCTTGCCAGAGCTGCAGGAGGCCCTGTAGCGGGTGCAGATGGTCTTCTAATTGTGACAGCGTACCTTAGCTCGCTAGACTTTGGTTTTGTTTCGGGTGGTTTTTCTTTTCAGACGAGTTGTCACTGTGTTGCCAAGATGACCTGGAACTCAATTTCTAGGCCTTGTGCTTAAGGGTCACTCACCTGCCTCGGGCCCCACAGTGCTGGGATACTGAGTGTGTGCCTCTCTGCCTAGCTTTCATATGTGCAGGATAGTGGCTGAATCTATTAGACTAGCTTTTCCTTGTGTAGAGGTCCCATGGTAGTTTGGCTTGAGATCCTTCACCTTCATGATGGGGCAGAAGCAGCCCCATACGGCCATTCCACTCACGGCTTTTGGTGCAGTAAGTTACAGGAGACGTTGAACACTGTTCTGGCGTCAGGTGACTTTACCCACCTGAGGCTCCTGTGTGTGCTCTGAGTGCTTGGTAGGCCGGGTGGGATGTTTGTTAAGTGGTCGTTTTCAGCTTACTGTGGCTTTAATTTAGGGTGTGCTTGTGAGGAGGTAAACCTGCTGTAAGTTGAGGATGCCGGGCATCTGCTCCTATTTTCTCCATAAGGCCAGTCTGCCCTCCTAACTGCCAACTTGAGCCAATGTGCTGTTTTCCCCTCCTTTTGTGCTGTTGGATGGAGCCTAGTGTCTTGTGTGTGCTAAGCAAGCCCTCTACTGCGGAGCAGCGTCCTCTGTTCTTTTCAGACAGGCTTTTACTGTGTGTCCTAGGCTTGCCTCAGATTCACTAGCCTCCTACCTCAGCCTTTGGAAAACTCCACCATAGAGTGGGGTTTCCTTGTAGAGCCATGGAACTTCATTTTAAGGCTTCTGTTTGAAAGCCTTTGTTTAAAGGGAGCTTACCTGTCTGCTAATGGGCTGAATGTTCGAGTCTTGGAAAAACATGCTGACGTTCTAACCTGCTGTGTTGGTATAGGAGGTGGACGTTACTAAGGGGGCTCCAGACAGTTCTCTTGGCTTTCCTGACACATAAGGACCCAAGGAGAGGGCGCCATCAGGGAACCAGAAAGCCACCATAGACTCTGGCTAGCTTACACTGTGAATCTGGACTTTTGTCTCCGGAACTATAGGAAATGAATTGTTTTGCTTTATGGGATGCCAGGCCAGTCGTATTGTGTCACTGTAGTCCACACTGCCTGTGACACTCCACCTACCTATCCGAGCTGTGCACATCCTAACTTGAAAATCTGTTTCTGAACATTGTATCGCCTCACAAAATCCACATCATTGCAGGGAGGTGTTAGAGGGCTCCTAGGTAGGCAGGTTTACTCTAACAAGCCCTGGCCTGCATTTCTCTTTCTTCTGACAGGAGCCACCTGTTTAATATATAGTCTGTTCTAGGCCCGAGTGGAGTGGTCCAAGACCAGGATGTGTGAAATTCATCCTCTGGTGATGTCTTTTGCTCACCATCAGAGGAACTGTTCCCCCATCTCTGAAGAATCCTCAGAGGCCAGTGAATAGAAAAGATTCTTGCTCTGTGGGGATGCAAGCGAAGATAGGGGGACTGGAGTGGATGGATGGGGAGTGGGAGGGACTCTCGATGGGCTGCAGCAGCTGGAGTGCCCTGATGATTGGGATCCATCAGTGACTGGGTGTCCATCTGCCACAGTGGTCTGCAAACACACCAGCTGCAGAAGAGTGTTTTGTCTGCTGCTGCCCAAGGGAGGCCGACAGGCAGCAGGAGCAGCGAGGCCAAACAGCAGCCCAAGGCCAGGAAGGATAGATAAGGGATACTAACAAGGTGACGCCTGGGAGAAATACTGAAGGCAGGTTTAACTCACAGCCTGCATCTGTACGGAAGTTTTCACCTCGCTTGAGTAACACCAGAAGTGTGTGCAAGTTCAGGAGCATGGGGACATGCTGTCTCCTGCGACATCGGCTTCGTTTCCCTTTGAAGCTTTATCTGAGTGGCAGCTGGGTCCCTGGCTGCAGCCACTGGCGGCTCCATTACTGTTTCACTGCATGGATTTGCTCTCAACCCACAGCGGCTTTGAAACTTTTAAACGTCTGCTCTTCCTGATCTGTTGATGTTTTTTTCAGCCTAAAGTTTTTCAAACCTGGCCAAGAAGCGGTGAAGTACCAGGGCCCTAGAGACTTCGAAACACTGGAAAACTGGATGCTGCAGACACTGAACGAGGAGCCGCCTGTGAGTGTCCCCACCTCCCTCCCTTTACAGCCCAGAGGCCAGAAGAGGTGAAGGCTTACAGTTCCTTATGCAGTTGTAAGTGGATCCTCTCTGCCGCTGCCACTTCTCGTTACTGAATGAGCACAGAGGAGCTCAGGAAACACAGTGTAACACCCGAGCATGTTCTCTTAAGTACAAGATACAAGGTACTGAGTATATGGGAATCCTCCTTCTTAAAAGAAGCAAACGGTGGAATTTCCGTAGCATGTCCATTGGATACCTCTGCGGGGTGTATCCTGTTGTCAGGACAACTGTAGATTTCTCAGTCCATCATACTGATCCCTTAAAGAACTATTCTTGGTTTCCTTGGACAAGAATGAGATACGGATTCTTCCTAACAGTCTTCAGTTCCTTATCTAAAGTCCTCAGGTGGCTCTGTTTACTTCACTGTGTTTCTCAGTGTGTAGCCTAGGCTGGCCTTGAACTCAGGTCCCCCCGACCCACTACCTCCCCAGAGCTGGGGTTATAGGTGTGTGCCACCATACTTGCCCTTGTGTCTGATTGCTTGCTCCTTTTGTAGCTGAATACATTTTTTTGAGACAGGGTTTCTCTGTGCAGTTTTGGTGCCAGTCCTGGATCTCGCTCTGTAGCCCAGGCTGGCCTCGAACTCATAGAGATCCGCCTGGCTCTGCCTCCCCAGTGCTGGGATTAAAGGTGTGGGCCACCACTGCCCGGCGAGCTCTATGAATTTTTTATGTGAATGTTAGATTCTTTAGTAAGCTATCATAGTTTTCTACTCCCTTCTGAGTTGTCTAGGTGGCAGCTGGGGCACGACCGCTCCCGGTCCTTGGAGGCTGTTTCAGATGGCTTTGTCATGGAGGCCATCTGTAGCATCTATCTGCTTTCCTGAATTCTTTCATTGAAGCTGCAGCTGTCCTTTGCCTCTAGCAGGCCACCATGGTTGACTGTCCTTGGCCAACGGTGGGGTTATCTCAGATTTGTGGGTTTACTTTTCAGTTTTCCTTATGCCATTCAAGACAAGGCAGGACTACGAGACTGGAGGAGAGCCTCCCACAGTCTCCAGGTTCCATTTTTATTTAAGCACCTTTCTTAGAACTGACTGCTAATAACTTGAAAACAGTTTCTTCGTGTAGAATATTCGAACATGTACAAAAGTGCAATTTTCCCTTTTGGTCAGCCTTGTCTCCCCTTCTTCTTGATCCCTCCTGCATCCGTCCCGGGGAAAGTCATTTGTCAATATTTCAGGACACACTTTTTGCTTTGTAACATAGCCACTACGTCACTTTCACATGAGTGCAGTGAGCAACCATGCATTTGTACCAGTGGCTGGCTTGGACCACCTGGAGTCAGGTGAGATCAGGTCCAGAATAGAGTCTCCTGTTCAAGCCGGTGCTTTCTCCCGATTCTCCAGCTCCAGCTCACATAGCTCACTTGGGCTTGCTCCCACTGGCTCTCCATAGTGTGGCTCTTCCTTTGCGTCTCAATCCTCAGCTTTCCAGGCCTGAACTGGCTTTACTAACGATGTAAAGCTCTTAGTAAATGCTCATGTGTTTTCCTGCATCTCGCTGTGTGTAGGTCCCATCAGAACACTGTAAGAGTGTTACTTACTAAGGATGATCTAGAAGTCTTCATTGTGTTCTAAATCACAATGATCATACGCAATTCCTTGTCCTTCTGTCTGTGGATGGTTAGATAAGGGTGGGTGGACTTGGATGGTTTGTGGCGTGGTGTTGGTCGGACTGGAAAAGTAGCCAGCGTTCCCTGGTTTCACAGCTCTGGTGATTGTCACGAGCATCAGGAGTTCTGAGTACAGCCGCAGGGAGAGCAGTTCATTGAGGCTGCTTTGTTGTGTTGGAGCTGTGCGCTGACTGCAAGGCTGTCTGTGGCTGCTTGGGGTCCTGACACTTGGGTTGAGCTCCGCTTCTCATTGGTGCCATTTTCAAGGGTGTGTGCCCCTCTCCAGCCGTGGTCTTTACTCTGTGGATGCCCCAGTCATCAGAAACTCGTCTCCTTCTTTCGTGCTTCCATAGCTCACCTTTAAAACCTCCATTACTGTGTCCGTAGTGTTGAGGAGTTGCCTGGAGACTGCATTCATTTTAGGTAACCGGAAGCCACAAGCTTCTGGGTGGATTTGCATCTTTTTCATGCTGGAAAGCTGCAGGGACAGGTGGGGTTTTCATATAGATTGAAACAGCATCGGTTTCTCTCTGAAAATGTTTGTTTTTCAGAGGGGTAGGTGTGCGGTAAGGGAGAAAATTTTAAAGAGGAGGTAATAGTCTAAAAAAAACTTTTAAAATAAGCTTTGCACTAAAGAGGCCTACTGATGGGATGCCTTGTCCTGCACATGGTGTCAGAAGGAGAATAGATGTATGTAGAGGCCCGCCTCCCCATTGGGAAGTACAGGCTGGGAGGGCGGTGGGCTAGCCAGGCTCAGCACAGATGTCTGGAGGGTTTTTCCTCGTCAGTGTAGGAGAGAGATGGCTCCGTGGACTCTCGCCTGTGGCCTGCCAGGACCAGTCACTTAGGCTTCATGTTTAGTCTCTGAACCATAGACTCTCAGATGATCCCCAGGAAGAACGACAGTGGCAGCATGCTTTCTGGTGGAAAAGTTTAGATATGCACGTTTTTGAGGCACTGTAAATTGAACCCAGGGCCTTGACTCAAGGGAGGTATTCTAAGTTGAGCCATACTCCCAACCCCAAATAGGTGGTCTTTCTATAGAGCATTCTTCTCTTTTTAAATTACATTTATTTATTTAATTAGTGTCTGTGTGCATGTGCTGGGGGTGGGAGTGGGGGAATTGTATTTTGACACATTCACGTATATGTAATGAGATGGCTTGGGGATGAGCCCCAAGTCTAAACATGAAATTCTTTGTTTCATAGTTTTGGTATATGTGCCTTTTATGTACGTCCCAAAGGTAACTTTTGTTCAATGTTTTTAGTGTGCCTACTTTCTGACTTCAGTCTGTGACACGAGGCCAGTGTGGATTCCCCATTGTGGTACCTGTTGTGGACTATTACTTGAAGATGTGTTACATTCGTTTAGGCTGTGGAACATTTGTTTAATGATGCAAAGATGTGTTGCATGCATTCTTTATGTTGCATTTGTTTAACTCTGTGAAACTGTGTTACTTTGCCTGTCTAAAACACCTGATTGGTCTAATAAAGAGCTGAATGGCCAATAGCTAGGTAGGGGTGGCAAGCAGAGAGAATAGGAGGAGAAATCTAGGATCAAGAAAATAAGAGGGAGGAACGAGAAAAGGAGGAGGAGAGGAGGATGCCAGGGGCCAGCCACTCAGCCAGCCACGGAGTAAGAAGGAAAAGAAAGAGATATAGAACAAAGAATGGTAAAAAGCCCAGAGGCAAAATGTAGTTAAAGAGAATTGAGATAAATTAAGTTAGAAAAGCTGGCTAGAAACAAGCCAAGCTAAGGCCATGCATTCAAATTCATGCATTCATTATTCATAAGAGACCTAAGAAAACAAGTCTCTGTGTATTTATTTGGGAGCTGGGTGGCAGGCTCCAAAGAGTTAAAAAATGAACTACAGGTGCCTGTTCAAAAAAATTCAGATTTTGGAGTATTTGTGGTTGGAATTAAGGATGTTGACTTTGTAATGTAGACAATGTCATGGTTGTTTGTTTGTTTTTGTTAACTTGACACAAACTAAAGCTAATCTGGGAAGAGAGAATTTTAAGTGAGAAAATGCTTCCATAAGATTGGTCTGTAGGCAGGTCTGTAGGGCATTTTCTTGATGAATGATTGATGTGGGAGGGCCCAGTGCACAAAGTGGCAGTGCTACCTATAGGCAGGTGTCCTGCGTTCTGTAAGAAAGCAGGCTAAGCAAGCCATTGGGAGCAAGCCAGTAAGCAGCACCCCTCCATGGCCTCTGCTTCTGCCCTGACTTCTCTCAGTGATCCACTATGATGTGGAATTGTAAGCCAAATCCTTTCCTCTCCGAGTTAGTTTTGGGTCATGGTTTTCATTACAGCAACAGAAAACAACCAGAACATACACTTTTATTTAAATGAAAAATCAAGTTCTTAAAATCTCAGCTTGACTAGATACGAAGCAATTTAAGAACATTGAAAGATGTATTGAGAAAACCCAGGCTTTTTAAAAACAATATTTATCATTACCAAACAGTAAATATATTAAAATGCTTGTGCTGCAGAGGCAGCTCAGCGAGGCTTAGTGTGTGAGTCAAGGGGCACTGGGTTTTCAGCCCTGGTCTTCTGCTCATTTCTTTTTAAAAAAATATATGTATTTTTATTTTTCATTATGTATATGCATATATCTGTGTGGAGACATGTGCACATGAGTATAATTGCCTTGGAGATCAAAAGACAGTTGGAGCCCCAAAGCTGGAGTTACAGGTGGCTGTGAGCTGCCTGAGTGGGTGCTGGGAACGAAACTCTGGCCCTCTGCAAAAACAATACACACTTAACTGCTGGACCGTCTCTCCAGCCCCCTTTGCTCATTTCTTATTGCTAGAATTTTATATTCATTTATTCTTGATGGATGACTAAACCGGATGTTGGTAGAGATGGTAAGCCATCTACGTAGCCCTGTCCTGCTCTGTCCTGCTCAGCCTCAGGAGCAGATACGTTCTCAGCTGGGAGATTAGCTGCTTTTGTCTCTGTGGCATCTTACTGTGTGGGGTTCTCTGGGCATCTGTGTTAGTAAACAAATTTGCAGGGGCGGTTATGATGAGGTGGCTGCTGACCTTGATCTTATCTCCTTAATTTCCCTTGTCCTCTCCACTGCCATCCTCTCTAGGCTGTCTTTGGTGAAGAGGGCCCCGTGGAATTGTAGTCTGTAACCCATATGTGTTCTGTGTCACTGGTCTACTTTGCTCAGCTGAACCCTGATTTTTTTGCTTGTTTGTTTTGGTTTGGTTTGTTTTTCCGAGACAGGGTTTCTCTGTAGTTTTGGTGCCTGTCCTGGATCTTGATCTGTAGACCAGGCTGGTCTCGAACTCACAGAGATCCGCCGGGCTCTGCCTCCCGGGTGCTGGGATTAAAGGCGTGCGCCACCGCCGCCCGGCTGAACCCTGATTGTTACATCCCCATCTTTCTACTGTTGGAATACTGTGTGTTCAGTGGACTCCACACATACAGGAAAGTGGGAAGCTTCACTTGTGGCAGGGCTAGTGTTGTGGGCTCTCCATACCTCCTCCTTCCCCACTCTAACTATTCTGGAAACTTTATCGTCATTGTCTGGAGGACCTCTGCAAGACAGATAGCATCTATAAGGTTATAGTCTGCTGCATATTTACTGCCTTGCACTGGAACTCCACCAGGGCCTGTAACATTTGCTCCCCCAATCTCATTTCTCCTTCACTGACATTAAACTCAGCTTCTCCCTGTCCCCTACACTGTGAAGGTACTCCTGGTTCTTTATGGTAGTCTGCTGTATGTTCCTGTTGGGGAGACACATCTCTTTCTGACATTGAGCCATTCTACTGTTCTCCAAACCTTCATGACTTCTGGTCCTCACTGGCATATGCCACCTGGTGGGGTTGTCTGGGCCTCTGTTGCTGGTGATGCCTGGCTTGCTGTCAGTGGCTCTGGGCTTGGGCTGTGGCTCCTGGATCTCAGCCTCATGTTCATGGTTCTGAGGATGAAGTGACTTGGACTGACCGAGGCTCCTCCCAGGTGTGATGGAAATGAGGCCAGAGCTGCTAAGGGCTCTCTCCAATTCACGAGTTTTAAATAGCTTTTTTATAGTATATTGTTGTGATTTCTATTTTATCACTAGTTATTATTAGATCTCCCATTGTGCTTCATTTACAAATTAAGCTGTCACAGGCGTGCATACTCAGGAAAAGCAGCAGATGTGGGGCTTGAGTCTCTCCGTGATTTCAAGCAGGGGTTCTTGGGATGTGTCACCTGCAGTAAGGACTGGCTGCTGTGCTGGCTATGAATTTCTGTCCCCAATCTTGTCATGTGAGTTGCCTTCTTAAGGTTTAGCTCACCAAGCCATCCCATCCAGTCCTGTGCTTCCTGTGGCTTGTTGGGTTCTTGGTTCTTGTCACTCTCTGGTGGCGTCTCCCATGTTCTCCTGCCCCTGGGATGAACCGAGGGTCAGGGGACCTACCTGTTCCCTTGTTATTTTGCCTCCTGCTTTGCCTGTTTTTCCCTCTTTGTGTCTTGAGCACCTACCTGTCTGGAGCCTCTCACTGGAAATTTACCTTGAATCCCATGGAGAATCTCAGACCAGGTCCAAGAAGAGGGCAGGGTTTGGGGTTGTGAAGACATCACCTTGTTTGGTTGGTTGAGTTTGGGATGGAGGCAGCTGCTCCAGAGCCTCAGCCCTACAGGGTGAGTTTGGTGCTCACGCGCCCGGAGTACTTGTGGAGGTGATTTCCCGTCTGGCCTGGCTCAGCACAGCACAGGTGTGAGATAGACAGGTGAGGACTGTTCCGGACAGGCACAGGTACACCCCCCTGCATCAGCGCCATCCTCAAGGACAAACTCACAGATGATTGTTTTGCTTCTTATTAGACGCCAGAGCCGGAAGCGGAGCCACCCAGAGCCCCTGAGCTCAAGCAGGGGTTGTATGAGCTCTCAGCCAACAACTTTGAGCTGCATGTTTCTCAAGGTAAGGATGGAACTGGTGCCATGGGTCTGGGCTGGCTTTTCCTCTTGCTGTTTGAGGGCTCATCGCAGCATCTAGTCACAACTTCCGTTATCTCTTCAGCACCAGTGGACTGTTGCTTAATGAGCGTGCTCTTACGTAGCACCTTTCCTCCTCTGTCATCCTTGTAGGCTTGCCTGCCCAAAGCTCTGCTAAAGCTGTGAGCACGCTAGGCGCGCACAGCACCCTCGGATAAGAAAGTCTTTATTAATGGTAGTCACGTGTTTACTGGCTGGAGGCAGAAGCAAGCACATTTTTTGTTTAAACAGTGTAGTCGGACTGTTACAACTATGAATCAAATTAGGTGTTCTTTATACACACTTTTTGGAATTGGTCTCTTAAACATCTACCTACAGTCTCTACAGTGAATAAAACACAAGCCTCCCTTTGTTAAAAGTGGACGTGTTTCAGAAGTTGGCTCAAGCACATACAGCTAGAAAGCAAGCCCAGCTTCCTTGCTGGCTCCATTATCAAGTGCTGCCCTGGAGAGAAACCCCCCTGGAAGACTGGGTTGTACACACTGTGAAAAAGAACTTAGACTGTATCTGCCCCGGAAGCTTGTGCCTGGCAGGAGCCAGACCTCCTCCACACTACCTGTATTATTCAAATACTTTCTCCTGGTGTCTTCCAGTCCTACTCAGATGAGTTACGTAGTCTGTACCAGCACTCCAGCAATGGGACCTTGGTGTTTCCCCTAGTGGGAAGTCAAACTAACTCAGGCTCTGTGTAGAATGTGCACCCAAATCACCTTGACATAGACAGTCTCCCACAGTCCAGCCGAGCCCTACGCAGAGCAGGCATCTCCTGCAGGACACACCCCGCAGACCCCACATGGTGGTGTTCCAGGGCTCACTGAGGCTCTTTCCTCAAAAGGCAGCCACGGCTCCCTGCCCTCGCTGGCTTCCCATCAGAACTGCTTGGGTTCTGGGGATTCAATCTCTATCCTGCTGCCCAGGGTTAGTACTCCACATGTCTGTGAAGAGATGGTTTTAGCCGTGAAGATAAGTTGCTCATAATTTCCAATAAGTGATTCACCGTTTCCCTGAAATGCATTGTTGTCATAGCAAGAAGACCATAGCCTCTGCCATCAGTGTGGCCGGTCACCATCCCACTGCCTTACATCCACTGGGGCTTCCCTCCTGATTGGGGGTTGCTGTCAGCCTATGTAAAGAAGAACAGCCAGATAAAAATCTCCAGTGTCCAGAAAATAATGTTGTGAGGACTTGATTGCTTTTGGTTTTTTGTTTGTTTTCGTTTTTTTTTAAACTATCCAGGGGGTTATTGTTTTTTGTTTGTTTGTTTGTTTTTAACCTGGTTTTTGGCAAAATATAATGTAAGTGCAGAAAGCCTATTGTGCACCACCCACATCCCAGGCCACTCTCCCATTCTCTCTCCAAAGGCACTTGCCCCATGTGTGGGCCCATGGCTTTTCTTTATGGCCTCATAGCTCAGGTGTGTGTTACTAGACACTAGACTTGAGTCATCTTCCGAGTTTATGTTGGATTTTATGCATCTTAAATGCTTTTTTTAAGCCTCATTGAAGGCTGAGAGTGTCTGTGTAAGGCTCTGTTGATCTGTATGGTCTCCAGCATTTCTTCCTGTGTTGTTTACTGAGTGCTTGGTTTGTGGACCTGCACAATTCCCCACAGTCTGGACTCTGGACTCCGATCAAATAAATCTCCTGTGGATTCACATATTTCCTTGTTTTGTTTTTCCCATATATGCTTTTGGGATGCTGGAAGGCCTCATGGCTGCTAGTGACTCCGCATGTCTGTTTCTGTGATTGTGATTGGAGCCGCACTGATGGCCACTGTCTGGTCCCTCCCTCGTCAGACTTGTTGGTGCGGACCTCATTTATACCTGTAGCGTTAGGGTGGGAAAGAGGCAGGTTAAGTGTACAGTTCTTTACCCTTCTGCCAGTTTTCTCAGTGTGAGTTGGTTCTTTGTCACCCTTCAGACATGACAAATTTGATTTTGAGTTACTCTTTTGAACTCAAATATAAACATACATGGTGACGAGTCCCTTTTTACCAGCAGGGCTTGAGATCTGTGAGCAAGAGAACAGGGCTGTATTCTTCAGTTCAGCATCTGGTCTCTAGGGACGTAAAGCTCAATACTTCTTCCCCTTCCTCTCTGCTTCGGCCTTCCCTACAGGCGACCACTTTATCAAGTTCTTCGCTCCATGGTGTGGTCACTGCAAAGCTCTGGCTCCAACCTGGGAGCAGCTGGCCCTGGGCCTTGAACATTCCGAAACTGTCAAGATTGGCAAGGTAAGTGCAAACCCTTGTTAAACTGCAAACAGTCTGCTTTGGGCTGGATTAATTAGCAGAGTAGCCCATTATTCATTCCGTGTACAAAGTCGGAAACTTGATTTATTAATTATTCCAGGTAGTGTGCCACTTGACAATTCATTTCACCTTCACAGATGGCAGCCTGATTTGGGAGTCTGCTGGCTTTTCCACAGCCTGGAGATAAATTATGGCCTTGGCCGATTTATTCTGAAGGGATGGCCAATTCTGAGTTGGCAGCCCTGAAGCTGTATAAAGATATGGGGTAGAGCCTTGTAGAAAGTTCACTGGACGTCCCTAGAGCTCAGCCAGTAGCTTTCTTCAAGGGTTCTGGGTTCTGCACTCGTACAGGCTCAGAGCAGGCATTCCTCATGGTGAGCCCTCCTTTGCAGTGCCGTCCACAATTCCTTCCAACTGTTCATACAGAAGAGCCAGAAGTAATGTGTAACAGCTTCTGTGTGGCCAGGTTTTCTGGAACTATCTGGAGCAGCTCCTGGGCTACTGGGTATTTTGAATCTCACTGATTTTCTGACACTCGCCTTTATGGAATTCCTCAGAAGAAAATCTCCTTTTTCTACCTGGCCACAGGGCTTATTTGCATGCAGAAGTGGAGCTGTGTATCTGGGTGTGACCGTCAGAAGCAGAACCTCGGGGTTGGGTAGACCTGGCAGGCTGGCCTTGGTCGAGATGTCTCCCCTCAGATCCCCCTTCGCAGAAGAGAAACAGGGTGAATCGTGTAGTCAAGAAGAGGAGAACTGGCTGCTTAGCATGGCCCCTGGGGTGGTGATGCCGAGTCCGTCGGCCTTCTCATTGCGCGTTGTGTGGGTTTTCTCGGCCTGCCGTGTTTCCAGTGCCCTGTTGTATGCTGTGATTACTTCAGTCATGGAGCGTTGTGGGGAAATGCACATCACCTTGCATTCTGTCTTGCCCCAACTTCTGTGTCCTTACTCAGATTATTTTTGTGGGGTTTTATGGGAAGTGATTTATCCAGGCTCTAAGCAGAAGCAGGCATGAGCAGCAGCAGCAGCTGTGAGAGGCCTTCATTGCTGGGCACTTGGGCTGCTTAGACAGGACCCTGGAGAGTGCTTGTGCCCCTCGCAGACATAGCCTAAAGCTTCCTGGACTTCATTTTAACACTCTAATGGCTCTCACTGCAGTCTTACAGCTTAATGCAGTTTAAATCCTTTATTGACATACTAAAAACCAGCTTAGCTCTGCTTGGCTAATTTTCATGCTGGTAAAATTTTTAAAAATAATGCTTGTAAAAATATCAGGCAAGCAGAATCTTGATTTACATGAAGTAATCTGAGCGAGGCCTGATGTTACAGGTCTCTTAACTCCAGCTATTCTGGAGTCTGAGGCAGGAGGGTCACAAATTCAAGGCCAGCTCTGGCAATTTATTGAGGCTCTATCTCAAAATAAACATGTTTTAACAAGGGAGGGGATGTGGCTCAGCAGTAGAGTGCTTACCCCATATGCACAGGGCCCTGGGTTCAGTTCCCACCCAAACAAACAGCTACTGTAATTGTCACTTGGGCAAGTTATAGTGCCACACTTCCCAAATGTTCTTATTAAACATGACCTACTTGCTCCCACTTGTGCTGTGGGATGCCTTTCTGTACACTGTGAATGTGTGTTGCTCTGACTGGTTGATAGATAAAGCTGTCTGGCCAATGGTGAGGCAGAATAAGGTTAGGCGGGACATTGGAGCTGGAGAGAGGGCAGCAGAATGGAGAGTGGGGCAAATACTGCGAGCAGCCACCAGGAGAAGCAAGATGCGAAAGCATGGGGAAGCCACGAAGTCACGTGGCAAGACATAGGTTAATGGAAATGGGTTAAGTTATAAAAGCTAGCTAGCAAGAAGCTTGAGCCACAGGCCATACAGTTTGTAATTAATATAAGCCTCTGAGTGATTATAAGCGGCTGTGGGACCGTGGGTGGGAGGGATTCGTCCGGATCATGGGGCTGGGTGGGACACAGAGAAACTTCTGTCTACACACTTGGGGGGGTATATGCACAGGAATCAAACGGCAGGGACCCACGCATGTCACTGAACTGTGTCCCCTGCCTTGATCTGAAACTGTAGAACTGACTGACAGTAGGTTTCCGTGTCACTGGGAACTGCCCGGGTGAGTGTGTTCCCATCGCAGCCTGGCTCACACCCCTTCCCCAGGTGTCAGCCTTCCTAAGTCTGCCATTTTCAATTGAATTCAAATGAATCCTGGATCTTAACTCTTGTCACTGTGTGCCATTAGCGTGGGTGGCTTCTAGGCAAAGTCTCTCTAAAACTTGCAGAGTGCTGCCACAGAGGCTGTGGAATCTGGAGTAAAACTGGTTTGTTTGTTTGTTTTTTGTTTTTTCCTAAGTATAAATTGTCTGATAATGCTTTTTACAAGGCTGTGAGGAAACTTACTGGGTGCTTGATTGTACTTGGTTCACAGGTTGACTGCACACAGCACTATGGACTCTGCTCAGAAAACCAGGTTCGAGGCTATCCGACTCTGCTCTGGTTTCGAGATGGCAAGAAGGTATGTCTTCAGCTCCTGTGTGCTGTGTGGGGATAATCCTTCCACTAGCCATCGTGGCTGAGTTGCCGGGAGTTCACAGCATGGGAAATGGCTGCTGTCCACTGTTGGAGGACTGTGTACGTGGAACGCAGTATGTGTGTTTCCCTAACTAGATAAGACGTAGTAGATAGGGAAACGGACATTTGTCAAACTCTTCGGAGGCATTTTTGGTAGCTTGGGTTTTCATTGGAATTAGACACCTACCTGTGCTCTGGTATGAACACAGACCTGCTGGGCCTGGGAACAGTAGTAATGCTTGCTCTCAGAGGGGGTCTGTCCCTGCCCCTCTTCCATGCCTTGCCCATGGTCAGCATCTCAGAATTCTCAAGGAAGTAGGGCAGATGGATGGCTAGCCCTTACTTGAGACTCTAATGATGTATAGCTTGTGGGCAGGGGTAGGAGGTGGGTGTTGTGGAATCTAATTTCCCATCGAAGTGGGAGCAGGCAGATATCACAGGAGACACAAAGCTGGAGCTGAGACCCCCTCATGGGGGGAGGCGTGTGACTGAGAACGCTGACAGCGTCACCGTGGCCTGTGTCTTGGACAGGTGGATCAGTACAAGGGAAAGAGGGACTTGGAGTCACTGAGAGACTATGTGGAGTCGCAACTGCGGGATCCAGAGGAGGCCCCCGAGACTGTCGAGCCCTCCGAGGCCCCCGTGCTGGCTGCTGAGCCCACGGGTGACAAGGTGGGTGTCTGTCAGATGGAGGGAGATGGTCCTGCCTCCCTACAGAGTCTTCTCACTGCAAAAGGATTTCTCATCTACATTACATTCTTTGCATGGTCAAAGTCAGCAGAGGTTTCCCTCAGAGAAACCTGAGGTAGATGTGAGACAATCCAGAGAGAAGAAGGTACTTGGTGTGAAAGTCCTCCAGAGTTGGTCCTTTTGCCCTGGTTCCTTGGGGACAGTGTATGTGAGGGTTCGCTGCAAAGCCTTTCCTGCTGTCCTGGCCCCATTCCGTTGACCCCAGAACTGGCTGCTGTCATTTTACTATGATCCTGTAGCAAAGGCTCCTGGGAGATCTGCAGCAGGATGGGCTGTACAGGGGATTGGGTAGGTAGATCACAGAATATTTCACTTGTTTCTGCTGCCTCTGCCCTTATTCATTCCAGATCTTGGGTTTTAAGATTTATTCTTTTAGAATTCAGTGTATAGGTGGATGTGTGTATGTGCAGGAGCGTGCAGAGGCCAGAGGCATCTGATCCCCTAGACCTGGAATCCCAGGCGTTTCTGAGCTGCTCAGTGGGGGTGCCAATAACCAAACTCGGGTTCTCTGCAAGAGCAGTGTGCACTCTTAACCACTGAGCCATGTCTCCAGCCCCAAGGGATCTTGGGTTTTCAACTTTTAGTATTTTTAGTTCTGCATTTATCAAGCTTCAGGCACATTCTAGGTACTATCATAGGCTGCCAGGAAAACAAACAAAAACCCTTATAACTGTTTTCCAGCCTGTGAAGGGTGCAGGGTCTCTGGAGGAAACAATGAGCAGGAGTCACGAGGCTGTGACAAGCGTGTGTGCAGGGTAGCCAGCCTAGAGGGAAGAGAAATGAGCAAGTGTTTGCAGAGCTGACTGCTCTAAAGTTGCCAGAGGGGGGCGCTGGTGAGCCAGATACAGTTGGGAGAATGAGCCGTTGTGTTCAGAGCAGAGCCCCAGCCAGGCAGGAAGGCACTGAGAGGAACCAGTTCCAGTGGTGCAGTGGGGTGCCCAAGAGGGGCAGGGATAGGAGCTGGAGGGTGGAGCCATAGCAGGTTTGAGCAGGTCATCTTCAGGAAGACACCCTGCAACTGCTGGGGTGAGGAGAACTCACCTGTTGCTCTGGGCCCTGAAACATGAGGCGACCCCAAAGTAGGGGTGAGATAGTGGGGGGAGGAGGAGGGAGCCTAAGGATCCCACTCCAGTGAGGAATAGTTCCTGGGCAGCAGGAAGCAAGGGAAGGAGGGGTCTGAGGTGACTCAGATTTCTGGAGTTTCTGGTAGTGGTAGCAGATACTCAACACAGGTAAGAAGGGGGGTGTGAGAGGTAGCAAGTTTGGTTGCCTGGGTCTGGTTTTCAGGTTGTGTGTGTGTGAGGGTAGAGACAAAACCATGGACAGTCAGTACAGGACTCAGGACCAGAGCAGGAGGTCCACACTGAGTGACACGTACCAGCTAAAGTGCATGGGAGGATGTGTGTATATTCTCTGTAAATTATCCAGTCATTTCATGTGAGCAAACCCTGAACTCTGGCATAGGGACCAATGGAGAACTGCATGGACCTTTTTGCTTAGCTTCCACCACTGAGCTCTTTCCTTGACAGTGAGACCCTGGGGGCCATGGGCAGGGCTGGTGAGCATGCTTTGTCCCCTGGGATGAGGGTAGTGACCCACTGAACACCCACTGTGTGTAGAGAGGATGAGACTCACTGGGCCCAACACTCAAGACCCAGTACATTGAAATTGGAAAAAGTCCGTGGTGTCAGTTGCTCCTGCCCCTTAGTGGGCCAGCAAGAGCCTCCCTCAAGCACAGGGACCCGTTCCTTAGCTGTGCTCTTATTGGTTGCAGACAGCCTGAAGTTTTTGGTTTAAGAAGTGTGACCACATACAGATGTTAGAGGAACATGTGTGTCATGATGGCCATCCCTAACAGGGTAATTACATGCCTCGAGTGCCTTCTTTACACACCATGGCTATTTTTAACAAAGCTTTCCATCACTAATCCGGCCTCTCAGAGAGCACGGCTGCTTACTGTGGACATAAGGATGGTAGTGTTTGCAGCGGCCCACTCAGTCTGGGAGTCTCCAACAGCACACTGAGCTGTGCCATCAGTGCCCCACAGCGGCACCCTCACTGGACTACTGAACTTTAGAGAAATACCGATGAGACCCCATGAAGAACTGTCGAGATAGAATTGCTTTAAAATGCCTGTGTGAAATTCTCCAGCCTGCATTGGATGCCGTACTCACACTTATTTTACACACCAGAATAATCAGCCCATTGGTATGGCTGTGATTAAAACCACCAGTCACATCCGTGCTGCTAGGTTCCTGTTGGCTAGAAGAGATAAATGCTTGAAGATAAGCAGGACAGAGAAAAACGGCATGTGAGCTCATGCAGATCCACAGGCATCTTGGGCTGCAGGCTTGGGAGCTAGAGGCTTACGCCTAGAATGGACTGGTCCACGCTGCAGAGCCCTGGAGGATAGGGCCTGTATCTGAAGCCCCTGGGCTGGTTATGGGCAGAACAGAGGCCTGGGAGGTCTGTCTCGGCCTACTGCCTCCAGCCCCAGCAGCTCTGTGATATGATAGTGTGTCTGCCCAGTAAGAGCTCTGGATGCCCTGCATATAACTTGTAGATGGCTCTGGCTAGAGTCCATCTTTCTGTCCTGTTCTCTTTTAATCGGTGTCTTTAAATTGACCTTCCTTCCCTGAAGGGCACTGTGCTGGCACTCACTGAAAAGAACTTTGAGGACACCATTGCACAAGGAATAACCTTCATCAAGTTCTATGCTCCGTGGTAAGTGGCTGTCTTCGACATTGCGCCAGCACCCTGTCACACAGCATGTTCTCCAGCTGATGGCTGGAGTCACAGTTACACAGGCTGTCTTGCAGGGAAGAATGCCACTGTACCCTGTCAAGCAAAAGTTATTTTATAAAAAAAAAAAAAAAAAGGCATGTTAATTTGCTTTAAGGCTCAATCTCCTTAGGCACAGATGTGAAAGTGAATTGGGATGGGCGTATAAAAAGTTCAGGAGAGCTCAGCTTTCTCTTAGAGCCATTCAGTGCGTGACCCAGTTACCTGAATCTTCCTGCCATGTGGTCTTCAGGGACCAGAATAAGAGTGGATGGAGAGCAAACTGAGCCCGAGATAGCCCAGCACCGGAGGATGATAGATAGGTTCCATGAATGGCCGGAACGCTGCATGTCCTTTTGATACCCCTGAACCTCTTTTCCTTAGCTGTAAAATTGCAACGACAATTTGTCTTCATAAGTACAACAGTCACTTGAACAAGCAGAGTCTGTGGGAGAGTGTCAGATGGCTGACCCAAATACGCAGAGGTCACTCTGAGCAGCTCTTCACTCTGTGGACTCAGGAGCAGGAGGTTAATGACACGACGCATGGTTTGGGCAGCTTTTGCGCTTGACTAGAAAGGCAGCTTGGTATGGTGATCCATGCCTGAAATCCTAGCACCAGGGAGGCTCAGGCAGGAGAACCGTGAGATGGTGGCCAACTTGGATTACAAAGAAAAGAAACGTTACCACATAATGCCATTAGAATTATTTTTTATTTAGAAAACTGCTAAGTCTGTACAGACAGTGCAAAGAAGACCCTCCTGTTGTGAGGAAGGACAGAAACAGTGACTGTCAGCACAAAAGGCAAGACTTGGGCCTAACTTCATTGTGGCCTCTTGGAAGTGGCTGAAATGTCGAGGAATCTGCACCCAGGCAGCCCAGTCCACACTGTCTGTCCCGTTCACCCCTGTTCCTCCCATCACCATAGTGTGGAAGTGGGCACAGAATCCACCTTTCCTTCTAAACCTGTCAGGTTACCAAATGTGGCATGACTCTGAATTCCTTTTCAGGAAGGGAAGGGCCCACATATACCCTGTGGGAGAATTTGATGGTGTGGATTCCGAGGATATTGTGACTGTCACGTAGGAATGATCTCAACCCAGATCTCAGCACAGCTGCCCCTGTTCTCTTCTAGGTGTGGCCACTGTAAAAACCTGGCTCCTACCTGGGAGGAGCTCTCTAGAAAAGAATTCCCTGGCTTAGCAGAGGTCACCATCGCAGAAGTAGACTGCACTGCTGAGCGGAATGTCTGCAGCAAGTACTCGGTGGGTACCTCTCCCGGGGAGGCGAACTGAAGATTTGGATCAGCACCCCAGGGGACGGTCACTTGGCAGCATGGAATGAGTTCACTCTGTCCAGACCTCTCTAGAGAGTGGCTTGTATCTTGAGTTGTGCCATTTGAGAAATAAAGGACTCTCTGAAAGGCCAGCCTTCTCCTCTGCTGCAGAGAAGGTTCTGAGGCCTTGCTGGGTCTAGCTGTACAGTACTGAGGTGCCAGGTGTTGAGAGGTGTGCTGCTGCCATCATGGCCCTGCCTGCCCGGGAGCTGCCTGGTGCCCTAACCTAACCACCAGAGGGCTCAGCATTCAGTTATAAACAAGCATCCTGAAGGATGGGGCTAAAAGAAATCTATACATCTAAACCACCCTAGGAAAAGGCCATGGCTAGAGAGTCAGTCTAACTGATGTGTTTGTTCTGAGCTCATCATATGATGGACGTTATGGGCTATTATATTGGTTCTTGTGTGGTGATGATGGGCATGGAACCAGGGCCTCATACATACCCCAATCAAACTGTACTACTGATATTAGCCACAGAATTCCCCCAGCCTTCCCTCTGTGCTCATAGATGTGTGAACTCCCAAAAGGTGATGTCAGATGTCTGTCTTAGTCACTGTCTACCTTATCTTCCACTGAGCCTCGAACTGATTGGCTGGGCTGGCCAATCTCAACCCCTGGACTCCATCCCAACACTGGCACTACAGATGGGCACCCCAGGGTCTGGTTTCTATAGGGTGCTGGAGCTCCAAATTCAAGTCCTCACACTTACTTGTGTGGCACTTTACCGACTGAACCACCTGCCCTGCCACTTCATTTTCCAGGAACAATTTAGGTGTGCTTTTAAAGTACTCTCTTCTTCTCTCTGTCTTTCAAAGGTCCGAGGCTATCCCACGTTGCTGCTTTTCCGCGGAGGTGAAAAAGTGGGTGAGCACAATGGAGGTAGAGACCTTGACTCTTTACACAGCTTCGTCCTGCGCCAGGCAAAGGATGAACTCTAGAAGCCCCCATTGACGTCATGACCCTGGCTTCATGCACCCAGTGCATAGGAGTGGCATCCGATGGGGAGCCGCCTGTCCACTGTACTGAGTCATGTAGTGTCTCCACGTGTGCCTCTTCAGCCCCCGCACACTATGGATTGTGATCGCCTCTCTCTGATCATAGCCCATGGTCCCTGGGCAAATATTCTCAGTGGCGATTCATCCTGTAACCTTCTCTTGACAAAATTAAATTGGCTTCCCTTGCTACTAAAATACTGTGAAGGAAAACCAAATTGCTGGACTCTGTTGGCTCCTGAGGGATGTGGGGAAATGCCTCATCCCAAAGCAGGTTTTTTTGAACTGTCTGAATTCTGGAAAGGTGGCCTGTGGCATGATGGTGTCCCTCTGATCTGAATTGACTTCATAATGTGGTGGTCCATAGTTTGGAGATGTTAGAACAGAACAAGAATCCACAGAGTTTTGAAGATACCTTGGTAGCCACTGTTGGGTTCCTGGTTCTGTTAGTGCTTCTCTAGTTGAGAGAGGTGAGCCATAATGAATGGTACTTCTGATGGATGTTCAAAGGATCCTCTTGTCTGCTTTGCATAAAGTGGGAGGTGTAGATGTCTTCTGCGGAAAGTGAGGATGCGGGAAGGCCACACAGTGGGTCCTCACCTTTCTATTTGCCTCCTGGGGCAAAAGCGCCTGATGGGCTTGCCCAGGCAGGCCCAGGGAGACTCTGCAGCCCCACTCGGGCTTCCTAGCAACAGCTCTGATTCACTGCCTGAGTCCTTTCAGCAGTTTGTTCTATGATGTCCACCTTCAAGGAGGCTGACCTTCTAATGTGTGAGCAGTGGGGTTCATTTGACCTCAAGACCAAAGACCGCAGTTGGCAGGGCTGCCCAAGGTTGGATGTTGCACTAGCTCCTTCTAATTCTCGCCGTCCTGGATATTAGACATTGCTGCTCTCGCCCTTGCAAAGATGCAGCAAAGCTCGCGCCATGCCTCTGTCTGTCTTCGCCATTGTGTGCTTGTCCTCAGAAGCACTTTGTGCCCAGCCTTTCACTCACCTTCCATGAGCAGGTGAACTCAACACCTGGCACAGAACATATGGTAAGGAGACTAGAAACAAGACATCTACTCCTGAGCATCAAAGGCACCCCGCCAGCCCATTCTGACATTTATTATTAATCATGTGTGGGTCACAGCTGTCCTGGAAAACCAGCTCTTGAGGCCCAGCTCACAGTGGCTTCAGCTTTGCATCGTGAGTCTTGTATTAAAAGAAAACTCAAGTGGTACAATTGGTTTATACTTTCTAAATAAATTTTTTTTAAAGAAAAAAGTCTGGTCTTTGCTTAAATGTTACAGCAAAATGGATATAAAATAGACAATAAATTATAGTTTCTATTTACAAAAAAAGCTATAAGTACAGTTACAGATTGTAAATGTATTATTTAATCAGTTTAGTATGAAATTGGCTTTCCCAGTACATGATTGTGAAAAAGACATCTAAAAAATATTCTAAGATTTAATCTGAGTCTTACTTTCTACAAGAGGAAATTGTGGTTTTGGTTCACAAATGGCATGCTCATCTCATCAAACCCATTCTTAGAGGCAGGGGCCCTTCCTCTGTGGGTTTCTGCTGTAGACTAGCCCTGAGCCATGGAATGCTACTGTAGGGAAAAGGCAAAGAACAGAGTTAGGGGAGAGCTGGTGTGTTGGAGCCAGTGTTCCTGATGTTAATGTGCTTGTCAAGCCAGTCTGCCTAAGAGGTGCAGAATCACTTTCTGCTGTTACATGGTTTAGATGGAGGCTACTGCGGATGCTCATGGCCCTACCCAAAGTATGGTCTGTCTACTTTGGGTTCTAGTAAAGAATTTAGAAACTGAGGGAGGAGGGAGGTGTAGAAATGCTACAGTTTGTTTTGAGCAAAATTAGTACATTTCACACCACCAAGAGTCAACAAAAGACATGTAACTGCATCAGCAGACAAAAGGCACCTCCACAAAGCATGTTGATGGCCAGGATGCAGGTCTTGGGTGAGCTGGCCTTGCTGGGAAGGGAATGATAGAGCTCTCTCTTCACCTCCAGCCTGTTATCTGCACAATCTCCCACTGATGAGTGCTACTGAACCAGCTGGTCTTCCAGCCAGGGGATATTTAATATTCCTTCGAGGTTATTCTCTACTTACACCACAAACAGCTAGGTCTAAACGCTAAAATTAGTCTGGGTGGGACTGGAGGAAGTGAGCTCAGGCATGTTTCTGCAGTTCCCAGGCCTATACTGAAAGCATTACAACTTCCGACAGACAAGCAACTGCTCGGTTATGAACTGGGGAAGTCATCAGCAGGGTCTTCATAAAATCCCCCTTGGGCTAAGGCACCAGCAGGAGATGCTTGCAGAGAATCATCATCCCACTTCACTGTGCTGCTGCATGTGTTTTAAGGCAGATTTAGTTAGGAATCCAAGGCAGAGTCACCCCTGCAGCCAGCTTTGACTTAATGGCATCCACAAGCTCTCACAACCATATTCCTGTATTTTTTCAAGATGACATTGGAGTTATCGTCAAAGTAAAGAACCGAGATGGCGTTCAGTTTAGTTGGTGCACAGCATGGTTTGGGGACGTACTCAGGATTCATAAGGTGAACCTGTCCCAAAATAGAAACGGGAGAGGGCACTGTTAGAAAGTGATGCCTGGTCTGGGTTTGATCCCACTTACAGCCAAGTCAGGGCACTCACCAAGGTCTGTACAATGGCGTGGTTGGTGGCATTCATGTGCGCATTGAGTGGGAAGGAACACTCTCCATCACAGTAGTTGGCAGCATAGCCTTTGGGTGCAATGATCCAGTCCTTGAGATAAAGCAAAAGGAAGCCGTGAAAGATCACCAGGCACCCCTACATCATCTGCACTCTCAGTGGCCCCCAGAGAAGGCATTGATCATGGTGCACAGTGGGGACATGCGGGAGGTTTGGGAATTGCCCAAGTTCACATTCAAGTGAAGCTAAGGGATGAACCTGGTTGGTCTGACCCTGGTTGGTCTGACCCTGGAGCCCTCAGTCTTTCCAAGCTGCTGTGAACCTGCTAGGTCTGGAATTGAGCTTGTGGCTGGCTTGATGGACAAATGCTTCTTGGCTTAGGATGGGGTTACATCCCAAAAAAGTACCAGTTGAAAATGCCCATGATACACCTAAAAAACTGAGCACCATATCTTAGCACAGTGCACCTTGGGGCTGACTGAGCGCTGCAGCTTGCTGCTGCCACACATCATGTCCAGCGATGAGGAGACTCTAGCCCAGAAAGACTCAACTTCAAAACTCAGAGCACTGTATCTGGTGAACACATACTGCTCCTGCATCATCATACCACTGGAAAATGGTCAGTTAAAACATTGTAAGTCATCAGGATCTATCATGTCTACTTAGACCCAAAGGGTCCTCTGCAGGATCCCATTATGTCCCTGTCTAAGTAATGCCACGTACATACAGAGCAACTATTTTCTCCCATTTCTCATCATATTCAGCTGGACTTGGGGTGAGCCAAACATGTTTGTCCATTGGATAAGCCAATGTAAAGCTACTGAAGAAATTAATCATCAGCTTTTTTTGTAATCCTGTTTCAAAGTAAGAGTTGCTTAAATGTCCAAATAAATACATATGTCTGGCATTTTGAAAGAATGAGGAAAGAGGGAAGCCCATAAAGGGGGCAGGCCGCTTAGTACACCAGCCTGCCAGGTTTTCCTGCCTTACTCCAGCAGCCTGAGCAGTTGAGAGCTTGGATTCCAGAATCAACTCATGCCGGAAGCTGATGGTGGCAGCCTTTGATGTGGTGGTATTGTGTTCCCCAAAATATTGTGCACCCTAATAAACTTATCTGGAGTCAGAGACAGAACAGCCACTAGATACAAAGGCTATAAAATGGTGGCACTCGCACCTTTAATCCTAGCATTCCAGAGGTAGAAATCCCTCTGGATCTCTGTGAGTTCAAGGCCACATTGGAAACGGCCAGGCATGGTGACACACGCCTTTAATCCCAGAAAGCTAATCCCAGAAAGCGAGCCTTTAATCCCAGGGAGTGGTGGTAGAAAGCAGAAAGGTATATAAGGCGTGAAGACCAGAAACTAGAAGCATTTGGCTGGTTAAGCATTTGGCCTGGTTAAGCTTTCAGGCTTTCTAGCAGCAGTTCAGCTGAGACCCATTCTGGATGAGGACTCAGAGGTCTCCAGTCTGAGGAAACAAGACCATTTGAGGATCCGGTGAGGTAGCTGTGGCTTGTTCTGGTTCTCTGATCTTCCAGTTCACCCCAATACCTGGCTCAGGTTTGATTTTATTAATAAGAACTTTTAAGATTCATGCTACACTTTGATGAGTTATGAACAAGGTACTGCTCATCAAGGCCTGTCCCTCTTCTGAGGACTCACCTGCCATCCCAGGTCCTGGAAGCTTACATACAGCTCATGCTTTTTGCACGCTGTTTTTAATTCACTGCTGTTGTAGTCTGTTGGAGGAGAAAGAAGGATGTATTCATTAACTCACTTTTCCTTCACTTAAAAACTTACACGAGAACTTTCCTCTCATACATGCCAGGCATGGTGTGATGCTCAGGACAGCTGTGAACCAGGCCCCTATTGGCATACAGCGTCCCCCAACAGTTTAGTTGAGTTCCCAGTTGTTTGCCTAAATTTAGAGCCACTGGAGAAATTAATCATTCGATTTTTTTCTAATCTCTTTTCAAAATAAAAGTGGGTTGAATGTTTAAATAACACACTCCCCTTGGGCTGTGAAAGAACGCGATAAGAGTTCGAGAAAGCTGGCACCGAGGTAGAAGAGCCTCAGAACACACTGCACTTTGCCCATCCTGGGGTCTGCTTTGGGCGCCCTGTTGATTTCATGGACACCATTAAAGAGCAGATGTGCATCATGTAATCTGCTCTCTGCAGGGTCTACAGATGGATGTGCAGAGCTCTCCACTGGATTTGAGAGATGAGAGTCACTAACAGGTAACTGTGTCAGGCAGAGTCACTGTATTTCAAATGTGGACTATGCAGACATGGCATGGGGCTTGGGTGATAGCTTCTGGCCCCCAAATGGGGGCAAGGATGACACTGGGCAGCCACGCTCTTCTGTTCATGGGCTCCAGCCTCACTGCTGTTGTTGTACCCTTTATATGTGCCCTAAAACAATCATTCCAAAACCAGCAGTTCCCTGAAACAATCTGCTGAACCCGCCTGACCTGTGCAATTCAGAGCTACTGGCCTGGCTTAGCAACCCTCATCAGGAGGCCTAGGAACACCTTGATTCATTTCAGCCCATCAGAGCAGCTTTTCTGTGTCATGCATGTCTTCTGCCTGGTGCCAGGGAAGTAGGGAGATGGATCATGTATAGCTTTTGTCCCCCAAGTACTTGGAGACTCAAAGGGGCTGTGTGAGAAATGTACTCAAGTAGCTCAAATACAACTCAGTGTACAAATGGCATGGTCAAGGGTCATGAGTTAATACTACTGAGGCTAATAGAAGGGACAATGAGGGGTTGGGAAGGGAGAGAGCAGTTCTGTTGACTGCATTGGAGTTGGGAGATAAAGCTGGAGAAATGAATGACTCCGAATGCCAACAATGAAGTGGACTTTTTAGTGGAGATAGGAAGTGAGTCCTGGAAGGTTTTTGAATCAGGGAGTTCAGAGCTCTGGTTTAAAAAAAAAAAAAAAAAGTGTGTTTGTTAGGTATGAGGGGTCAGAGAAGGGAAAGGAGGAAAAGAAGTTTTGGAGGAAGATTCTTCCTCTAACATGATCAAGAAGAGAGTCTAGATCACGCAATACTACTCCTGCCCTTGTCGATCGACTATGCAAACCAATGAGTTATCTAAGAAGAGACAGAGTCTAGATCACATACATACTACCCCTGCCCTTGTCAATCAACTATGCAAAACAATGAGTTACCTAACAGGTGTCTTTGGACTGGAATTCCACACTTTACCTCTGGGAATTCCCAACCCTAAATCAGAAGTGTGCAGAATTCATAATTTTATAAAGAAACAGTATCAGCTGAAGGTAGTGATCTGGGAAGAGAGATGTGGGTCAAGTATTTACTAATGCTAAACTTACTCATTTCCACCCTCACCCCCTGCCTACCTGACCTTGCAGAAGAACCCCTCCCCAACCTGTAGTTTTAAGTCCACATGAGAAGGAAATTCAGAGCCACCAAAGGGGCAAGTTT